AAAAACAAATTTAGGACTATATATTTAATCAAGTTATTTTCGCTAAAACTTATCTTTTATTAGGTGCTATTATTATGGTATTATATTAATACGTAGAAAGTAACCTTATATTAACTGATCAACAAAAGTGTTTGAATGTATTATAAAAATACACTATATTTACAAATAATATAGCAGACAATTTTCCCTTTCCTTAAGTCTTAAATAAAAGAATTTTTTTTTTTATCAATTAAAAGAAATTTACATTTTGTGATGGCATTTCATAATAATCAATTTTTATAAATAAAAATAACAATAATGACATGAAAACTTGAATAAGAAGCCCACAGGCCACACCTACCATATTTGTTACATAATTTGTTATTTAACAGTTTGTTTTCCTATGACCCACAGTATTACAACAACACAGGATTTAAAAGATCAAAAGACCAGTCCTATTTAGACAACGGGTTGTTTGGTATAGTTATTAGACTTTTGATGAATTAAGAGATTAGGGTGGTCTTTTAGTTTATTATGAAATTTTTTGTAATGATTTATTATTTATTATTAATGAAAAAATTATGGTAATTTTAATAAACATATAATTTCAATAACTTTGCTAAATAACTTTAATTTTATCAGTGTTACATTTATTTTAATTTAACTTATTTTTGGCAATAATAATAAAATAAAATATATAAGAAATTTTCATTAAAATTATGTAAAATAGAAAAAGTACATTTAATAGAAAAAAGCGAAATAAAGTTAAATTCATTAAAATTAGAATAATTCAAAACATATTTGTACACAAGAGCTATCTTACTATCATACTCTCTGCCAAAGTAGCATTTGCTATAAAATCCAAACTCTAATTATAACCTATTTGATAAACTTGAGACACAGTTAGAAAAGTAACATTAAAATAAATTAGGGTGTAACAAAAAATGTGGGAAAATTGAATAAACTATTTAACTTACTGAAACCCTTTATATTTAACCTGACGCTCTTCTCCTGTGAGTGGATCTCTAAGTTTGAGGTCATATCGAGCATATACAATTAACTGACATAATTTCCGAAACTTGGATTCTCTTGGAACAATAAATAAGGGAGTGTCAAACAATGGATGATTCTCTCGTAAATCTTCTTCTCGTTGATTACGTCTCATTTCTGCTTGCTGTCGTTTAGCTTGCAATAATTTGATATCAAGATCATGGGGTCTAGCTCTTGTGGCTGTAGCTAAACGATTCATACCACCTAAATCTCCATTTTCCATAAGGTGTTCATAAGTCTGTTTGAGTTTCATTGATCCTCGGCGAATACTATGTCTCATGGATCTAGAAATCATTAAAATGTATAAGTTTATGAATAATAATTAAAAATGTAATATTTATAAATACTAATACTTTTTATGATCCATGCGTGTATGTTGCATATTATTAACAGTACCTTGAGCGTGTAAACCACTGCCTTTATTACTAGAATTAGGAGGTAAAAATGTTGAATCTCCCAAAAGCAAACGTTGGTTATTAGAATCACTGTAATGATTAATAAATAATTATTTTATTTGAATATAATTAAAAACTAACTTTTAGTTCTATTATTAAAATATTTACTTAATTATGTTAGAAATAATCGATTTACGAATTTCTGGTGTAACTGTTCGTACTTTTGGTGGATTTGATAATAATCGCATTGGATGCTGCTTACGAGTAATCAAAGGAGGTTTGACTACTTCACTTACTTTATTTATACTATCTGGAGAAGTTTCTTCATCACTTTTATCTAAAACAAACTGTCTCATAAAACTTTCACGAACCTAAAAATAATTTGTATATTATATTATTTTTCTTTTTTTTATGTATAATTCAGTTTAATTTGAAATATTACTTTAGGCAAATTAAAATCTGATGGTTGCTTATGTATGGAGGTCATTTTAGGACGATCAGGAAATTTTTCAAAAATTCTCAGTCTAAACGGCAGTGTTTCTTTGATTTCAGCACTTTGTTCACGAAAACGTAATTGTTTTAATTTTTTTAATTCTTCATCGAGTTCAAGGTTATCCAAAATTACAGCTACAAAAAGACTTAACACAATCTAATAAAAAAAATATTAACGTTTTTAAAATTTCTGAATTTTAAACATAAATCATTTTCTTACAAGTGTGACAAATAAATGATAAAGTATAAAGTAAACAGCAACTAATGGAACTAATGTTTTACGAGTTCTTAGCATTGTTTCATCCATAACATCAACCCAGGCTTCTTGTGTAAGAATTTGAAACATGGACATGAAGGCCTATTAAATATTAATACATTTTAAAATTTTAAATAAATTATAATAATAAACTTACTTCTGGGAAAGTTTCAAACTTTGGAAAATCACATAAAAAACAAAATAGTTGCATGGAAATTCCTGATGAAATTACTAATAAACATAAAGTAAATATGATAAGGCTACCCAGTTTTTTTCCAGGTCCAAAAATCTTATATACAAAATCTTCTAACATAGGTGAAGCTTTAATCAATCGAACAATTCTTAAAACCTAAACATAAATTAAATTAAATACATACTTGAATAATGTAATTTAATTATCTACTTTACTGATGAAGAATGACAAACCTGAAAATAAGTTAACCCAGATAAATAAAATTGTGGAAAAATATGTAATGTAGTTCCAACAGCTAACATTAATTCAAACTTGTGGTATGAATGTTTGAAATATTCTTTAAATCCAAGTAAAACCATTTTGAATAATGTTTCAAAGTTAAATATTATTGTATATACAACCTGGAATAAGATAGAAAAGTAAATATTTAACTTACAGTAAATATTAAAAATAATTACTTCAATATAATAGTATTGTTGATAGAATTCTTCTCTTTGCCGTCCATCATGTTTAAAATTCATTGTAGCCATAGCAATTCCATTACTAAGTATAATGCACATGACAAGTAATCGAAACCAAGCAGAATTAAGAATTTTATGTCCTAACGGTGATGCTAACGTTCGATGTTTATTTTGTTCAGGAGTAACTAATCTCCAACCATTTTCATCACTAACTAAAATCTATAAAAATATTTTTGTATATAAATATATCAATTTAATAAAAATTTAAAATTGCTTAAATAATAAAAATAAAAACTTTAAACTAGTAAAAACTGTATAATATAATCTTACTTCAGTGGAAGTTTTGTTTCCAACATGTCTTCTACTTCCCCACAATTGTTGAAATTGCACACGCATTTCATTAAATGTCTCTGTTATTACTGCAATAAATACATTCTTAACTAACCATGCTAAGAAGAATATTAATGTAGAAAAGTAAAAAATTGCTCTCCAGGCTGGAAGACTATCAAATGTTCGAAACATTATGTATACCCAACCCTCTTGTGATGCAGCTTGATATACAGTGAAAATACTTGTTGCTAGAAAATATAAATACTTAAGTCTAGACATTAAAAGTATATAATAGCACAACAATTTACCAAATTCATCGAATCCACTGAAGCCAGTTATGTACCTTGATAACTCTAATTTCATACATTTCATACCTTCTGGACACTGATATCCAGCACCCGGTTCCTTAGAACAGAATGAGTCTGGTATGGCTAAATTATTAAGAGTTACATGCCTGTTGAGCAATTTATAACATATTATATGATATAATATACTGAAATAAAAACATTTAAAAATGATTATTTACGCTGGATCTGTTGTATTAAGAACACAATGGTTTTTCATTTCACCAAAAAGTTGAACACCAAGTACACCATATAAAGACATAAAAAACAGGAAGAACAGTGTTACATTGTAGATTTGTTGACTTGATCGTCTAGAAAAATTAAATAAAAAATAAATCAAACATTAAAAATAATATATTTTTGAAGGTTAAGTACTTGAAAATTTGATTTATTCTAGATTTTGGCATTGAGAATTTTAGGAAGACACGTATAAATCGGATCATTATGAAAGGCCTTGGCGCTCTTAGTATTGATAAGTAACTAAATTCTGGTAAAAATTCCACAATTTCAAAAATCTGTAAAATTACAGACACCCAAAGAAAAAATGCCATCGTGCCATCAAATTGACACCAATGGTCTTTCATATATGGTGATTCTCCCTGGACAAAAATAACAATAATAAAATACAATTCATTTGGTATGTCAAAAAAATCACTGATACCTTTAAAATCCCGCGAATATGCATCTTTGCAATCATTTCAGCAGTATATAAACCAGTGACAGCAAAATCGCAGATAAACGTTGCATATTGTAGAAATGGAAAAGCCTCAAAAGTTTTTGGAGTGTTGAGACTGACACAGAGTAAACTCAGCAGCGCACAAAAACGCATCAACCGTCGGACCCAAAGCTGCAGAGAACAAATGTATTAGATTAATTTAGAAAATATTCTTGTGTTCGTTTTGGCTAACTTATTTACCTTATTAACCCAATCGATTTCAGCATTTTCGTTTAGAGATTCATCTTGAACATAGTCCGGAGCCATTATATCCGTCCGGATGCTTTGCTTACGGCCCAACATACCTTCAATCGCCTCACATTTTCGTTTTTGTTCTGAACCTAAGCCTCAAAAGTCTAGACTTAGCCTTAAGACTTCGGAGAGTCGTTTATGGATACGGACGGTAGTCTGTAAATTCACTTTTCTTATTTCGTTATTCGTTATCGTCCACTCGAATATCGGATTGATTATTTTTTTTTTTCGATAACAGGAAACTTTTGATAACATTTATCAGACTTCGTTGAAACCGCGGGATCATGGCTGAAAAAATAATAAATACAAAAAAGTATTTTTGTTAAGTAATCTAATGGTATATTTTTTTACGACATTGCCGTCTGTTTTGATTTATTTCGTTTGTGATTACAGACGGTGACAAATTTTTGTTATTATCTTCAAATGTCACGTATCGGTACTGAATAGTGAACTTCCTTATCTATTGTCACAAACATACGGCCTACGATGGAAAACTGGCAACGTCGCGTACTCCTCCACCATCAAAATACGAGTACGTTAGGTCGACCACAAGCTGCGCCAATCGAAGCCGTCGCAGCCGGTGAACAGCGCAATGCCAGTATTCCGGACGTTTTTTTCAAACGAAAAAAGAACGACATCGAAGATAAAAGTTTGTCGATTGACGAGTGACGACCGCAACACTCGGACTTTTGTACTTCATTGCGATTGTAATTTTCGTAGTCGTTGCCACAAAACCGTGTTTGTCCAAAAATTATTGTTTTAATTAATTAACCTTTTGTTTTTGTCGTTTTATTTTTACACACTACCTACTCGACATTACTTTTATAAATTTAAATAATTTAATAATTTAATCGAACCTCATAACTCTGTAATCGTCGGCCGTCTCTAGCTTTTATTCCCTCAGACTGACGTGCATTGTTTCCATCAGAATATAACAATATGTGGAATGACGGTTACCATCATCACAGTTGCAACAGAAACGGTATCTGTTCATTCTACAGAAGGAGGCACGTATACCAGGACTTTCAGTCGAAAATGAAATCCGTCGAACAAGGCACGCCGTTACCTATAATGCAGGTCAGTATGACATGTGATAATAATAATTGTATAATTATTAATTACTAATCAGTAATAAGTATAATATGTGCGGATGGTTGGCGGGCGGAATATTATTTTCGTAAAATGTTCTATTAACATATTTGGATAATTATTGTTCGTACACCATCGGCATTACCAAGTTTGGTTCTGTCCGGGGGCAGACCACCGCGGACCGGTTACAATGACTGGGTCGTGAAGTGATTTACTTGGTGGGAGGTTAGTACGAGTAGGCGTTTATAAGCAGTTTTCGCTTTCCTTCTCCTTTTTCTAGTTTACAAGTTCTATTTGTAGTTCTGCGAGTCCGGGTTTTCACATGTTTTTCCAAATATTATTAATTATTATTTTAGTCGTCACTACAATAATATTATGCTAACGTCATTCGTTCTCTAATAAATAATAGAATTATATTTTAATTATTGTTCATTTATTGTTATTGTTGTTTCCAGTCACTACGGACGAATCAAAATATATTTATTTGTGCTATTATTTTTTATTTTTCACAGTGGTCACGTCTAAAAAACTAGTCAGACCCTAGCGAATAACAACAGGTCATAATGATTAGTCGTGTCGTACCTTCACCATTTTTATAGACCACGACAATACGTACATTAATAAAGAAAATATATTCAAAATAAACATTAACTATATTATTTTACGTTAAATAACGTTACGATTAACTAAATAATTATACAGTGGAACCTCGATAACTCGAACTTCTATAAGTCGAATTTTCGATAACTCGAAAGAATGTCTTGGCCCCTACTTTATAACATATCATATGTGTAACCTCTGAAAGTCGAATTTTTGATAACTTGAATTTTTTTTTCGCCCCCAACCGATTCGAGTTATCGAGGTTCCACTGTATTAACAAATAATTTCAAATTTTTGTATTTCGGTAGTTAGTGATTTATTCATAATATTATAATACCGTTGCAAAACCATTCATATTCTGTGGTAAAACTATCACTGATATCAGTTGATGCATTTCAAATGTGATAAGAACTATACGTTTTTACAATTCATACAGTACGTCGTGTTTGATTTAATATTTATATTTTCATTTTAAAGTCGTTAATAATATAATGTAGGTAATGCTCTCACACATATTCACGATAGGAATCCTATACATGGGCACATGGCTGGGTCATTTTTGATTAAAAACGAAAGAAGTTATTTATGAATAGGTCAAATTGTTTTCAGTTTATGTAGGTACTTACACAAATTTAAATAAAAATACTTTGTCGTGAATCTTAATCAAATTCTTGCCTCGAGAGACAGCCTGTTTTAGTTTACTGTTTAACTGATGCACAATGAACCGCTAATAATCCTTGAATGTTAGGTTAAGTGAAATTACGAGCTTTGAAGTACACATTTTTAATTAATATCGTACTGCGATTAATGTGTGTTTCATGTAATTTAAATTCAATTTTTTGAAATAAGTAGATTATTTAATAGTATTTTAGTAATACTTTGTAATATAATATATATATTTACTCAGTAAATTGTAGCTTTATAAAAATTAAATTTCCATAAATTACGTTCATTGTACATACATTGTTACTAAAAAAAATTGTAGGAAAATTTCTAGTTATCCCCCTTTTAAAATGTTGGATTATGAGATCTTTTCTTTTAATATTTAGTAAAGCAATCCCTATCCCATAATTAAAAAACTCAACTTCGAATATTTTTTTACGTCAATAATTACCGTGAATTTGCGTAACCTATTTCAACAAAGTACACCGAGAGTTCTATTTTTCAAATGTGCTATTGAAAAATAAGCTAGATTAGATTTATCTCATACTGCTACTGAAATACAATCTACGTGTGTTTATGATGTTAAGTAATAGTTTGTCGTCATTTTGTTTCGTATTGGAACCAATTTTGTAATTACATCCTCCATTGTTTTGTTAAATTTATTTCCTAAATTATTATTATACATTGTCAAAGAAGAGGAATTTTTCTATAATAAACCACCACATGTGGGAAAAACACATTAAAATTACTTCTTCGAGATATATGTGTAATCTATAATTATAAATGTTCACTAATTTATTTTTTCGTGAAGATTTCTATTAGTAAAGGATCATTTTTACCTACCAAGTAATACTTACTACATTATAGCCAGTTAAGATCTACTTGTAAAACTTTATAAACTAACTGATCATAATAATTATTGGAGAAAAGAATAAATACAAATGTATTTTAATACAGTCATATACCTACTTTTATTGGTTATTTTTTTGTTTTTCTTTAACGGTTTAAATTGGGTAGTAAAAAGATTTAGAATCACATTTTTACTATCTATGTTAATCCAATGAAATATAATGAAACTTGAAAAACTTATAAAAAAGTTTTAAATTTTCAGAAGTAGCAATACTTATTATATATCTCTTACTTTTTTAAATTATTGACATTTTGAATGAAAATTACTTGATAAAAATGAAGAAGAATTCTAGATCTATCCACACTCTTAGTTATATTAAAAATTTAATGGTTGTGTATTAAAATTATTTTTCATTTATAATTCCTAATCCAAAGTTTGTAGTATATTTTCAAATTCAAGTTTTGTAATTTTGATTGTTTTGAATAAATAGGATAAATAAACACAGTATTACTAATAAGTAGATTAGTAGTTTGGCTATTCACATCAATAATTAATTTAGCTTCTTAAATAATTTTTTTAACTTTTTAAAGTAAAAAATATATATTAATAAAATAATTCTTTTTTCAATAAAAACAAAAAAAATTTTAAATTTGCTGATGGGTTTAGTCTATGCTGACAATACAACATAGAAATATTAGCGATTTCATGTTGTTATTTTTTAAATTAACGTAAGTATAAATCGGCAACAAATTAGAAATTTAGCACTTACATTGAGAACGGTAAATATTTATTAGGTATGTAAAATTTTTGTTTTGTTTTTTTTTTTTAGGACAGGGAACTGTAGTACTATATAGTCAAAACAAAGTCGTGATTTTATTCTTATTAGTTACATTTATTTATTTTAAAACACATAAAGGTTGATTAAACAAAAAATAGTTTGCTTTAGATATTACTATAATCGTATATTTAACTTGTACGAAAAAAAGCTCATTTCACCGTCAAGTTACCTTGAATCAAAATGTTAAATTTTAAAAATTTCATTTTACGAGTTGTCGTATACTTAGACTTTTTATATATAAATACTGTAATAAAATAGAATAATTTATCAACTTAGTCTCGCAAATCTTATACATTATTTGTTATTAAAAATATAAAATATTGATTTTTAATACATCATTCCTGATTTAGATACTAGAATATTGGTTCATGTTGGTTAGAGTAGTACTAGGTACGCAATTATATATGGACTTACTTATAACTGTTAAATTAGTTTTGGAGAATATCATAAATACCTATTTACTCATTTTTATTTTCACGAGATTTACATAGTTTTTATGTATAAATATTTTAGTTTTAAGTTTTTTTGATTTTTAAACTAGGTATCAAAATTACATAAAATCGATTTATTAGTCTGATGTAAGCCAGGTATAACATATTAGAAAACAAATAAAAAAACATTTGAATTATTCTTAGTTCTATTTTTATAGATTGTCTGTATACACGTTAGCGTAAACACGTATATTTAGGTACACCACTTAACCAATGTTGCTATAGTAAATTTGGCAAATTATCGAGGGACAGCTATGAATATTATGTATTAGCATACCTCATATGTTATTTAAACTACTATTTCATCAAATGCCATGACCTCTAGTTTAGCTCAGTATTAAACGATATCTACTTAAAATTTTAATAATGTTTCTATTTTATTTGTCTACTATTGGTTAAAGTTCTAATAGTTTAATGTTTAAATTATTTTACATTGAAAGTTTAACCTTTAAGGTAGAAGTTGTATAGATTTAAGATAATAACTAGGATTAATACCTATTATTTATTTTATTACATATTTCTTTTTATATTATATGAATATTATACATACCACATTATAATTATATGCTCTCTGTAAAAAGTTTTTGCTGGGAAATGAGTACCTACTATAGTGGCTTAGTTCAATTATCACCACTAAAAAATAAATATGCAAAATCTAATACCTAGTAGTACATTACTGTTCACTTCTAAATAGTTATACTAAATATTTTATAGAGTTTGAAAATATAATATACGAGGATCTAATGTAATGCTGTTCTTTGTGGTATACCCTAGTTGAACTTAGCAGAGTCATTTATATTATTGTTCATTTTTATTGCTTTAGGAAATAGATATAATTTGAACCAATACCAAAACACATTTTTAATTGTTTTAAGTTATTTATTATGTAATGAATTTGAGACGATAATTTGTCAAGTGTTTTAAAAAGAAAAATTGTTTAGTAGTTTTTGTTTTTCATCTATGTTATAAAATGTGGTAGTCATGCACAGTTTAATCAGGTTTAATCCTGTTTATATAGTCCATATAAACGCAAACTGTGGTAAATGAGATAAACTTAAATTGGTTAGTTATCATTATAGACATACAATAAATCACTTTTAAATGCGTTATATTAGCTATGATTAATATCGTTTAAAAAAAATATATACCTAAACCCTTATTTTATTAAAAAAGTTCAATTATGTATTTTTCTAGAAGCTTTTATAATTTTAACCGCACCTATATTATATTGATTGTTTACCTTGTGTACTTATTATACTGAAGTTTATTCGAGACGTTCCACATTAGGAAAAAAACGTAATATTACGTTGTTTTTGGCAGATCTGTGTTGTACCCAATGACGCAGTAAGGTCATTCCATCGGAAATTCGTTTTTATTCGCGGGACCTCGATTGTAATAAATGCACGTAAATAACAGGTATTTAATACATTCTCTATAGAATTGAGTTATTACAATACGTATACTAAATTGAAAGTTTCAAACTTATTTTAATGATAAAATTTTTACTAAGAATATCACTGATAAAGTAAAAAATTATAATTTATGT